TTCGATTGAGTCTTTTGATTAGTTTTGGTTTGAAAAGATGTAGAATTTCTTTAAAAATATAGCCAAATTGCTCTAAAAAGGATTCCAAATGGGAAACCCTTTATACCAGAGTCGTTTGCCAGATGGAGAACGATTATACGGCCGCACCAGGAACATCTTGAACATCCATTTTATTGGGTTGGTGGAAAAGTCCTTTCCGATTTTTTGGGAGAGTATCTTAAATTTGTTGAATTTTGACGTTTTATAGCTCATCCTAAAGCTGAATTCAAGACGGATCGATTGGTAAAAACCGTTTTGAGATATCTCTTTTCTAAAAGTTTTTACAGCTATTTTAGTAAAGGGCGGCAGAGCCAAAAAATGGGTGTTAGTTTTTCATTAGTTTTCCGTGCAGAAACCTAGGCTAAAAACAGCCAAAAAATGGCATTAAAATACATTAAAAATGATTATAGATGATATTTAAAAAGAAGATCGAAAACCTTCGGCTATAAAACTGTAAATTTATAGCCGAAGGAAGAGTCGGGGAATCGATTGGTGAGATTCATTTTATTAACTTGTATTTCTGTGCTTTGAAATCTTCATCTTCATCTTCATCTTCATCTAGATAAAGTCAAAATTTCAAAATACCCGTATTCAAGTGAATTACAAGATTCAAAAGCAATGATCTTGTGAAACAGAACACCTGATCACGTCACTGAACTCAAACCAATTGCGTAACTGGTCAACGGAGGTCTAGCTACGTCATTTCTCTTCTTCTCTACTCTAACACGAGATTCAAATTTGTCCTCATTGGTGTCAATGGTTGATTTCAGAAAAAAAAAGAGAGAAAGGACAGGTGTTTCTTCCCTTTTCTCATTTCCTTTTACTTTAAAAAGAGATGAACAGCAGGTGGTTTTCATAAAAGAAATCGCTAATCGCCTAAACACTCCAACACCATAATTATCGCCATTCTAGAGTCTCGACTTGTTGATTGAAAAATGAACTCTAGGATAATGAGACTTGATCAGGAAGAAGCTGAACTCAACTTAAATAGGGTCAGCTTAGAAATACTTTAATAGTTTTTAGAAAATGATGAGAATCGGATTTGTTTTGAGGTAAGAAGACAAGACTAGCTTGCAGAAGTCAATCTGAAGCCATTTTTTTTATTCTAAACTAAAGATATTTTCTCATAGATAATTTGGAATCAATCTTGAGAACTTTGGATGTGTTTCGATGACTTATTAGGACCCGGTTTAATTACCCAAGTGCCAACTTTACATCTAGAGCAGTCTTCCAGAGGTCATCCGTTCTTCTTTTATCCAATTCGGTTTAATTACCCAAATCTTTGATGGGTTTTGTTGTGAATTTATTGATTTCAAAGTTAAGATTGTATTTGGAAGGTATTTGACGAAAGCTTGCTATATTTGAATGGAAATTCATCTGTGTACAATGTCTATAAGTTCCAGTATCAAAAAGCCAAACTAAAAAGTAAAAGGGAACTTTGATCTAACTAGAATTTTCTCTTTTATCAATAATATACACTTATCTCTTAATCATTTATCAGCTTTTCATCTTGAGCATTTTCATCTTTCCCATTACCACTTTTGTCTCCGTCACGAATAACCGTTTGGCATTACCGATTCGATTCGGTGAGTCATACAAACTGCAAACATTACTCATCCCATTTACCGTAGCGGACATAATTTTGGAAACTTTTGTTTTTCCTTAAAAAATTCTCTGAATAAAAACTGATTCGGTATGTTTATTAGCAAAAATCAATGAATCAATGACAGCCTGGCACGTAAGCAAAAAGCACGTAATAATCTATAGACAGAACTTTGGAACTTTTGAAAACGATTATTTTTAATGCATTTATCTATAAATCCAAAGGACATAAATTTGGAAACTTTAAAAAAATAACTCTAAATGATGACGTAAATCATTAAACTTCTAAATTACAACAAAAACAAATAAAACAATTCAATACTTTGTGGAAAATCCTTTAGAATCAATGACAGCCTGGCACGTAAGCAAAAGGACAAAAGGTAATCTATAGACAGAACTTTGGAACTTTTTGAAAACTATTATTTTTAATGCATTTATCTATAAACCCAGAGGACTGTTCTCAGAAGAAAGGAATTAGTCCTATGGAATAACCAAACCAGAGTCCTGATTTAAACCCTATTGAACATCTATAGAAAATTCTGGAGATAAGCTGTAAAGGTGTTAAGAACTTAATGCCTTTACAGCTTATCTTAATCTTAATGAAATAGCCATAATCTTAATGAAAAATTCGAGCTTTTGGCTAAGAAATGGATGGAAATTCCAACAACAACCATCGCCAAGTTATCCTTCTCGATTTTTTTATGCTTTGAAACGTTTTTGTGTCCCCTCACCGGAAAGTCCCCCGACAACGTTTTGGTGTTCAGCCAATCTAGCAAGCATATTCACCGCAATCTACAATATTCCTGTCTATGATTATGGCCTATACGAGATTGCTCAGTACTGTTAAGTGATGATTTCGTTGAGCCGATTTTTTGCTGTCTCTTTTGAAGGAGCGTTTTATCGATACACGTTGAGATTTCCGGCGGTGCAAGAATTTTTTGATCTGCTCTATTTCCAACTACACAGATGAGACGTATTTGACTAATATTGTCTCATTTTCAGGCTTTATTTCCATTTGGGGTTAGGATTGGAAACGAAAATTTAAACTGTTGGTGACACAACCAAAAACATTGAGCGAATCGCTTATCGAGGATCATATTATCATAATTCCTGGTTATCTAATGATTGCATTGGATTTGATGACAAATCGAAAAAAGGAAATCGTACGTTTAGAGGAAGCTTTAAAGCTTTTCTAGACTTAGAACTTAGAACTTTATAAGACTTAGAACTTTTCTGTTATACTACAATTATTATATAAAAAATACAATAAAGCTAAAGTAGTGAATGAAAAGAATTTCGGTTAATTGATAGGGAACCAAAAAAAAACGAATTACCTATCTATTTTTTCTAGAAAAGATCGCTTCTACTAACATTGGACAAATCAAAATTACGTTCTTATAGTAGATTTCTATAAAAATATATGGTATCTAGGTGGAATCTCGATGCTTCGCAAAGCTGTGAGTGATTATTGAATATCTATTGCTCTTCTTATCTCCAGCATTCAGGTCTCACCATCAATCGTTGCTTTGGTATCTGGTTTGATGGAATTTATTTTAAAAGAGTCCAACGTTTTCCCCTAATTCAAGCAATATTCGTTTTCATTGGTGGATTTGGTGTTGGTTATGTTTAGATTGAAGTGATAGGTTCGTGTGTTAGAGGTTTATTATCGGTCGCTCGAACCGGAAAATAACACTAGCGGTCTTGGTTTGATCATTAAGCTCACAAGGGAATGCCAACTGGATAGGCCAGATTCGGTTCGACCATTCCAAGACCATTTGACGCAGAATTGCACGCTGAGCACGATGCTGTTTCTGTTTTTGCTAAACGGAACTCTGTCAAAAGTTATACGCGTTTAATGTTTTGTAAGGAGTTTTAAAAATCAAACGTAGAGCTTAAAAACAGGCTTTTTAGATACGAAAGAGGTGTAGGGGTGGCCGAGTGGTTGTAGGTTAAAATAAAAGCCAAGACCTCGCTGATTCGAATCCGTCGACGGATTGGAACCAGGCAAACTACGGTGCTTATAAATCAATAACAGTTCTCTCCTGCACATGGTGATCGTCATTTTTGAGAATCACTTCTAATAGAGACTTGATCGGAGAGCCAGAATACTGTAGCTCCTTCAAATGAGCTATTGTTTCGAGAATTTCGAGCAGAGTCAAAATTCTTTTATTTTATTACACTTGATGTACCCATTTCTTTCAAGATTTCTTTTTAAGCCATGTATTTAACAGGCTTGCCCGTTCCATATCTGCACAATTTGAGAATTTAAATGTTTATAAATAAACAATGACTTTTACTTTACTTACAATCCATCATTTGCATTCGTTTACCAAGCTTGATTTGCTCAATAAATTTTTCTTTTAAACACTCTAGGAGAAACTAGAGATTTCAAGAAAAAAATCTAGAAAACTGACTTGAGAAATTTTGATTTTAAGATAGTTGAATCGGCTTTATTTAATCAGAGTTTGCTTTGACTTTTGGGTAATTCAACGAGAGCCTGCAGGCGAAAGAATAGATGTTTTTGTCAAGAATACATTTTAAAACTTTATCGCCAAAATAAAACTCCTTGATGAAGGCACTATGGTAGACTTTAGAATAGAAAAACGTTAAAGAAAGATAGTGTAATAAACCGTAAATACTGTAATAGTACCCCACCCCCATAATGACGGTGCGGAGTGTTGCGTAGTCTAGCCTTGAACGAGTTTTTCTCGACACTGGTTTATGCTACAATGCGCGCTTAGGTATCAAAAAATAGCTGAAATTCAGGGCTATTTTTTGATACCAAAGATAATGACGGTGCGGAGTGTTGCGTAGTCTAGCTTTGAACGCGTCCTTCTCGACACTGGTTTATGCTACAATGCGCGCTTAGGTATCAAAAAATAGCTGAAATTCAGGGCTATTTTTTGATACCAAAGACACATTTTTTGAAAGTACGGGCGCTTTGAAAAAAATGAAATACTAAAAAAACGTTTGCGACTACGCGACTGTACGAGGGGGTTGGGGTACTATTACAGTATTTACCGTAGATACGTCACATTTAAATAATCACAATAGAGTCGAGTATGCAGAAGCAGGGAAATGAGAAAACAAAAAAGAAATAGGAATGATTCTAAATTATATTTAAAATAGATTTGGAATTTCGATGCATGTCAAGCAAAAATTTTAGATTTATCACAAAGATTACGAGCATTTTCTCTTTCACAATGTCAAAAATCACAGAAAATTTATTCTTTCTACCTAGAAAGTACTAACAAAGTGAAAGTTTAAACTTTAAATTGATAAAATTCATATTTAAAGTCTGGGCTAATATTTCGAATTGTTAGATGATATGTGTAGATTAATATTGAAGTCGGGGATTACCAGAGTCCACCTGAAAACAAATGAATACTCAATGTTAGAATATCTGGAAGCTGATCAAAACAACGCCGTGAACAGCGCCATGGTAAAAATAACCCCTTCGGGGTTAAGTTTCTACGTGTTTCTTATTCTTATTATTGGGTTGGTGAATTGAAAACTGCGGGACTTTGGACTAAAATTTATTCAACATAAAGCGATCAATTCATTCCAAATAATTACCATTATTATTGACGACTTCTGCCCATTTTACAGGCAATTTGCGGATTCCTCTTTCGTAGTAGGATTTTGGTTTGTGTATGAGACAAGTGTGAGACTCAAAAATGGAGGACTGAAGATGTCCCAGTTTGAGCACTTTCTTCAAAAGAAACCCATTTTGGTGTCAATAGAAAAGTTGTGGAGAATCAAAAATTAGGCTTATAGCCAAATTTCCAAAAAGATACACTTAGTAGTTTCGCTTAAAATGCAAGTTTTGTGAAAATTCGTAAATTTCGCATTTCTTGAAAACCAGTTTTTGAATCGTTCTGAAAATTTGGATATAAGCTTGATTTTTGATTCTCTACAACTTTTCCATTGACACCAAAATGGGTTTCTTTTGAAGAAAGTGCTCAAACTGTCACATATGACAATAGCCCGCAGTTTTCAATTCATCAATCCAATAAAATATCTGGAAGCTGATCAAAACAACGCCGTGAACAGCGCCATGGCAAAAATAACCTCTTCGCGGTTAAGTTTCTACGTGTTTCTTATTCTTATTAGATACAGAATAAAATTATTTACATTTTGTATACTTTGGAATCACTTAAAACAGAAAAGAAACAGAATTGGTGTCGAGAAAAGCTAAGTTAACTTCTTTTTGAACCCCTTTTTTTGTTTTTTTGCATTTTCTTATCGTAGATTTGTTCTAAACGGCTCTAAAAAATTCAGCAGATAGCTTATTTTTTTTTCTGCATCGCTTGGCTGAGCAGCTGGAGTTGCAGACGATCCAGACAAATCATCGGAAACACAAAATAGGAAACACAAATAAACTTAACCGCAAACACATTATTTTGACCGGCCCTATTTGTACACGGCGCTGTTTTCATCAGCTTCCCAATATCTATGGGATAATAGCAATACATTTGTCTAATTCTTAGATTCAAAAGCTTTATTTTATAGGCTACAATACTTTACTATTAAATGAATACCTCAAGTGTGTTAAAAATAAGAATAGATTCGGAAAAAGGAAATCAAACTACATATCCTTGCAAATATTTTAGCGTTTTTGGCTCAGCCATTGGCTGAATATCTTTTCCGTAGTCACTGATGACCGCCCTGTCGCAAATATGGGGCGTGGGACAAATGCGACCTTTTTTTTGCGCACCTGGACATTTGCGCACCTTTTTTTGCTGGAAAAGGCCTTAGGCAAGGTCGTAGAGCTTCAAAAATGTTTTCATAGAAGGGAATCGTATGCGTAGATTCCGAATTTCGACAAATCACACCTCGCTGACACGTCAAATTTGGGCTAAAACGCAAAAACTACGCAACTTAACGCTTTTCCGCACTTTTTGCCTTTTAGCCCAAATTTGACGTGTCAGCGAGGTGTGATTTGTCGAAATTCGGAATCTACACATACGATTCCCTTATATGGAAATATTTTCGAAGCTCTACGGCCTTGCCTAAGGCCTTTTCCAGCAAAAAAAAGGTGCGCAAATGTCCAGGTGCGCAAAAAAAGGTAGCATTTGTCCCACCCCCCAAATATGTTAAGCCTCAAGCTTTTAAAGCTTTATGTTAACACAAATTTTACAGCTTTTTATTTTTTTCAACTGTTTCATTTTTCCACAACTAACCTTGATTTGTTGGTGTTTTCGATTGCATCTGATTCATCGGCACTCCCGGTTTTTTCTGTGGATTTCGATTACCCAAGTTGTCCAAATCGATCAACCCAGAAGTGCCCGCCCATGTTGTTCCGACCTGGGAATGTTTTAAGATGAATTCAAGAAGTAATAGATTATATCTTTAATCGAATAGTAATTACTATGGATATGAATGAATGAGTAACTGACTTTAGCTTGATTCGCCGGTGCAGTGGGACTTGAATTTGCGGCTTGCGCGAGTGAAGGACCACCTGAAAAGGTTTAGCTTTCAAAAAACAGATAAGCAGTAAAGGGTTTTAATTTTTGCAAAACAATGCTTACTCAATCTTTTTAATTGTTATACCTTGTCCCATTGGGAAAGAGATCGATGGCGCGAGGCTAACTCCAGAAGTCGGCTTGATTGGGTCGTTCATGAAGAAGTCCAATCCGGCGGACACCTGGAAATGAATTAAGTAGAGCTGTTTATTGTCAATAGGTGTACAACGGAAAAACGAGATTTGGTCACTTTAACGGTTGTTTTTTTAACGGTTTTTCGATAGAACTTGGATAATTCTACCTTCTTGTAGAAAGAAATGTTGAAAAATAGCTGTTGAAGTGATTAAAATTCCTTTGTTTGACACCTACCGATAATCAAACCGAAAATAACAAACTTAAGTAAGATGAAAAGAGTATTTCAATTTCTGATACACTTGTCACAATCGTTTTTCACTTACGGTATTTGAAAGTGGCATTGAGGGAGTTGGAACGGCCGAGAATGACCCGAAATCACCGAAATCGGTCGAAGGAGCGGCTGAGTGGCTACTAAAGAAATTTATTGAATATTTTTCGTTACCTATTAAGAGCTAAACTTTTTACTTTCCTTTATGAGTAGTAGTTATAAAAATCTACCCAAAAAGATCAACACTCTGCAAACCGTTGCTTGGCTGAGCAGCTGGAGTTGCAGACGATCCAAACAAATCATCGATCAGAGCACCAGAGCCGAAAATGGAAATGATAGTTGGATTAAAGTGAAATTTGCTTATTTCTTTACTTTTTAAGATTTACCTGAACCATTAGTAGGAACTGGTGATGAAATCCCGTCACCACTTGGGGGACGAGGTGGACGAGTTGCATTTGTCACAGTTGGAGCGGAAATCGGAGTTGAAGCAAAGAAGTCAACAGCTGGTGCTGGGGAAACTGAAATTGAGCGATGATATCATTAAGAACCAAAGGTTCTAAATAGTTCTATCTAATAGAAAATAAATGGCAAAGAATTTGGAATCAAGGGGAATTGAACCCTCGATCTTCTGCTTACAAATGCTCTACCGCTATCGGCGCCAAGCTATCGGCGTCTTCTTTACCCAAGAAGAAATAGGAAAGACAAGAAAGAGAAAGAAAGAAAGCTAGCTTTGTTTATGAAATAACCTTGCGGAGCCGCCTGTGGTCCATCGAGACTCAATAGATCAAACGTGGCAGCAATCGGTTGTGGAGGAGCTGGAACGGAAACTCTTGGAGAAACTTTTGCTGTCACTGATGCCGATCCTGGTACTGCGATTCGACCAAGTGAGGAGGATGGAGGAGCTGAGAGTTTTGATGGAGTTGAGCTTGCCGGTGAGAACTGAAACGTTTCATTTCATTTTCAGAACTATCCATTTACTGTCAACTTGTTTCTTTAAGTCCTTTAAGCTTTAAGTTCTTTACAATTTATTATTTCAGTCAAAGTTGGTGTAACATTGTTGCAAGATTACCTGCGGCTTTGCACTTGATGATCTCGCTGAAGCAAAGTCTCCAAAATCGTCATCATCGGGCGTGGATTTCTTTTTCTAAATTGACGATTTTAGATTGAGGAATTTTAGGGAACATTACTTCTACATTCTACATTGTTCTACATTACTTGTTCTACATTATTACCAAATTATGCAGTCAGGTTTTGTTAGCTAATCTTCACCTCATCCCGAAAACCGAGCTCCGGACTAGCCGAATCCCTTCTTCTCTCATCAGGAAATTCGAAATCGTTCACTTCTTCTTCTCTGAAATTAAAATTTAACAAAAAACAGATCTGTATATAAACTATTTGTCTCAACTAGCTACAAAAATGTCATTGATTAGGGAAAGGCACTAACTCCAGGCAAACTTTTGACTGGACATCTATTGCACTTTATAAGCAAAGCACGAACTCGAGATGAGCTTTTGACTGGACATCTATTGCACTTGATAGAATCGGGTATAAGAAATCCGAATCTGAAATCAAAATCTGCTGACTTTCCAGACGTGTAAAACTTCAATCGAAAACTTTGCGTCAAAACGGATGCTTTAAAAGGCTCCTTCCTAGCGAAGAAAAGGTGCGTTGGTAGCCTAGTGGATAACGCATTAATATTAGGTTGGCAACTAAATAATGGCCCTCGCCCTTTTTTTGATAAAATCTTTTAATCTTTGCGTTTAATCTACCCTCGCTTTTTGTTAATTGAATATTACTGAATTTCTGGTGCATTATTATACGTTTTTTACTTTCCTTGATTTGATACTTTTCAAATAATTTTGTTCAGAAATGGAAGATCTCAAATATCGAATGCGTGTCTGTCTCTGGTACGACTACAAACAAGACAAAAACAGCTGCCGAATCCCACAGAGATTTATTGCGAGTTTTTGGTGATGAAGCTCTTTCCGAAACACAATGTAAGAGATGGTATCGACGGTTCAAGGAAGGGGATGAAAGTCTTGAAGATGAGCCTCGCCAAAGCCTCGCCGAACTTCTGCAGAACGATATTTTGGAAGCAGCTTTAAAGGAGGATCCAAGTCAAACATCACGCCAGCTAGGGGATCGATTGGGCTTTTCGCATACTGCAATCGAAAAGCGACTTCATGCATTGGGGAAAAGTAACCGCAGTGGAAAGTGGATTCCGCATAAATTGAGCGAAGAAAATAAGGCTACTCGTGTTATCACAGCTGGAATACTACTAAAACTTGCGAAAAGGGAAGCTTCTTGGATTCCATTGTCACTTCTGATGAAAAATGGATCTTTTATGATAATCGAACGCGAAAACGACAGTGGCTTAGCACAAACGAAGACCCAAAACCAACTCCGAAGCCGGATATTCACTCAAAGAAAACTCTCCTCTGTGTGTGGTGGAGTTCTCGTGGGTTGGTGCATTTCCGAGGTTCTCAAAAGCCGGCAAACGGTTAATTCAGAACTCTATTCGTCTCAACTACATCGTGTAGATCAAGCAATTCGCTCTCAAGGACTCGAACCCTCTTCAATTCATTTTCTCCATGATAACGCAAAACCACACACTGCAAAACTTACAATGGAGAAAATCGAGGAGTTGGGCTGGAATGTTCTTCCTCATGCGCCATACAGCCCGGATATGGGGCCTAGTGATTACCATCTTTTTTGATCGATGCAACACTTTCTAGCCGAGAAAAAGTTCAATGACCTTGACGAAGTCCGAATTTCAGTGCAGAAGTTCTTTGACGATCAACCAGAAGAATTTTTCAAGAGAGGAATCCAGTTGCTCCGTCAAAAGTGGAAAGAAGTAATAAAGAATGACGGAGAATACCTTTTGGATTGATGTTGATATTTGTTCATCTTGTTAATAAATTTTTTGTTTTTACTGAAAAGGGTCATTATTTAGTTGCCAACCTGATATATTTCATATATTTCACCCACGAGATTATGGTTCGGTCTCTGATGCAGCTTTTTCTTTGTGCTCTTCTCTCTTCTTCACTAGCCTTTTAAAGCATCCGTTTTTATGCCAGATTTTAGATTTAAGTTTTACACGCCTGGAAATTCATTTGGAAGATCTTGATTTCAGATTCAGATTCCTTATACCCGATTCTATAAAGTGCACTAGATGTTCAGACAAAAGCTCATCTCGAGTTCGTGCTTTTCTCTAGTTAACTGCAATAACACCCTACCTTTTATCATCGCCGCTTTTCTCCCACGAGTACTTTCGTTTGTCGTACTTTTTGAAGTCATCGTCCCACTTTTCACCTGAAATGAAAAGATGTATCTTTAAGCATAGAATATTTAAGCTTTCAAATCAATCTTTATAAAGATTTTGCTTATATTTAGTACTAAGAAAACAATGAAAACCTACTGTTGGTACTATGTTGCCCTCCTCGACCCATTCGAATGTCATCCGGGGTGTAGCCCTGAAGAATGAGTTTTTAAATTGTTAAGATATTACAGTAATGATTTTAAATCAATCACTAAATCTATAATCATTTTATATTCGAATCTTTACCTGATATTTCTCTTTCGAATCTCCTTTCGCCTTCTTTCGCTCGGCTCTCAATTTGTCGTCATCTTGAAGCAAATCGATCACGATTTTCGCGCGATGTCGGACTAAAATTTTCCCAAAATTATTGAATTTCTATAATTGTTGGGGGTGGGACAAACGCGAACTTTTTTTGCGCACCTGGACATTTGCGCACCTTTTTTTGCTGGAAAAGGCCTTAGGCAAGGCCGTAGAGCTTCGAAAATATTTCCACATCAGGGAATCGTATGCGTAGATTCCGAATTTCGACAAATCAGACCTCGCTGACACGTCAAATTTGGGCTAAAAGGCAAAAAGTGCGGAAAAGCGTTAAGTTGCGTAGTTTTTGCCCTTTAGCCCAAATTTGACGTGTCAGCGAGGTGTGATTTGTCGAAATTCGGAATCTACGCATACGATTCCCTGATGTGGAAATATTTTCGAAGCTCTACGGCCTTGCCTAAGGCCTTTTCCAGCAAAAAAAGGTGCGCAAATGTCCAGGTGCGCAAAAAAAAGGTCGCATTTGTTCCACCCCCATAATTGTTTCTATATATTTTTAAACCGACTATTTATCCCTTGATCTTTTCCCTTCTCATCTGTGTACTTAAAGCTTTCTAAGGCTCGAATGTGGAAGAGATTATCCTTTGCACTTGAGATCACCCGTTCAGAACCGTGTTGAATCAAATAGTTCAATAAAACCAAACTCTAAAATGGTAAATTAGCATTGTCGAAAGAATTTTTAATAGTTTAGCGATTGAAATTAACCTTGTAAACCCGTCGCCAAGCGTTTTTGTTATCCTCGAGCATTCTCTTGTAAAGCATGTTCATTACACCAAAGAATTGATCGTATCTGAGCGAAAATAGTTAATTTGAATAGATAAATGTGTAAAAAAATTAGCAAAAAGATCTGCTATCACGTATATTTTATTAATTTTTGAATAAACTATAACTTTACAATAAAGTGCACGTGTGGCTGACTGGTTAAGTGTCTTTTATCTTAATCGGAAGGTCGAGGGTTCGAACCCCACATGCGACATGGTCACCCCCTTCGGATTTCCTTTCCCTTCGGGTTGAGAGGTTTTCTGGAGGGCAGTCTGGTGGTTGTGGCCCCAGTTCTTTAAAGTGACAAGCCACTCCTTCATCGTCATCTTCCCTTCACCACCAAAAAAGCTATTTAGTTCCCCATTGAGCTTAGGGTTAGGGAGCCGTCTGTCATGACGTGGGTTAAGTTAAGATATAGCCTAGTATTGTGTGTGTCGTTGTATTGTCATTGATATATTTCGTGTATGCGATAAATTCACCACTGGTAGCCCCAGTCGGTATTTTTAAAGTAAAGCTTATAAACATGATTATAAGCATGATTATAAACGTGACTAGCCTATGTACAATATTGGTTGAGATAACTGGGTGAATTACTGTACTTTTTAAGGATTTCATTGATTACTAATGACTTACTAATGTTTTAAGCTTTACTTCTGAATACTCACTGATATGTGTAATTGCAGACTTCTTTCATTTGTGGTCCAGTCGGTCCCCAAGGTTCCTCATTCGTCGCATCCCAAACACACTGCTCAACCGGAGTCAAATTCATGACCATTCCTTGGCTGAAAATTGATATCATTGATTAGGATAAGATAATTACTTTTTAGCAAACTAAGTTGACTTTTTAAAATGATCTTAGAGAGCTTAAAATAGCCTTTCATAAGCCTGAGCCTATGAAAACCGTCCAACAAATTTATCTTTAAGAAAACTTTGTTTTTAAGTTGTAAAAGCTTTTTTAAAGTTCTTCTAAAGCTTTAAAGCAATGATATAAATCAACGAAATTCTAGCTTTTACACTTTCCAACAAGAATTGCTTTACATTTTATCGGTGAACTGCCGAATATCGGTGTTCTGGGTGATCGACTTGGCCGCATTGGCAATGCTCGAGAAGAGCTCGGCCATTGTTTCCCCCTGAAAATGTCCTTAAACATATAAAGCAATGGAAATAATGAAAAATTTATAAAACCTGGTTTTTATTTCATTGAAAAGAATTTTAATTGTATGGTAAGTGGAGTACAGTCAATCGATCAGATGGGAAAAGAAAAAGAAATAGCAGAGTACAGGAAAAAGACGTGGAGTCTCTCTTTTGCTTTGCTCTCTTTTCATTCAGCTACAGTATGAATGGGATAGTGACGAGACCTAGGCTTCGACAATTCAGCTACTTCAGCAAAAACCTACTTACAATTAGCATTAAAGAGAAAGCGGGTTGTTTAGACAGTTTAAATTGTTGAATTGATCATCTGTGAACAGAAAATCACAAAATTTACAAAAGTTTTAGATAGAATTTGGCTTAATCTAATTTTAGAAGTGTTTCATTGAAGCCCAGTTGATTATGTTTTATTTTTCATTAAACTTAAAGGGATACTCCGGTCTAAAAGTTGACTTTAAAGAATCACGATCATTTATATCTTATTTGATGCGTTTTAGTCTTCTCTACAACTATTTCCTATATGAAAAACAAGATTTTCTATTGAGAAATAAAGAAAAACACGATTTTTACTTTCCGCTTCATCCTAAAGGTGGATATTTGGCCAAAAAGTATATAATGGTTCCGTTCAATTGCATTTTAGCACTTACGTTCTTTTCTTTTGCTTGTATTTTCTCAAATTTAATAGCAATCCTAAATATTTTTTGTTTTTTTAATAGAAAACATTACGTTCTAAAAGAATAAATTTTCTCAGAAACTCTGGAATTCGAATTTTAGTGGAATACTTGATGTAGAAGATAGCAACGCTGCCGCTTCCTTGCCTGGGATACACAGATTTAAACGTTTTCCGTTTGGTGTGTAGTTGTTATAAAGCACGTCAATATAGATTGAGTTTTCGTCTCCAAACTAAACTGGAAATTGTGTTGTTCGGCTTGTCTGATCATTATACTCACACAGGCAGGTGGGGCTTGGAAACACCAAAATGTAGAACTGAAAAGAGATATAGCTGGAGTTGAAGAGATCAGCCAATTATTGCAGTTGCTCAGACTCGATTGCTCGATGCTCACAATTGTGTCATTTTTATAAAACCGTCTATAAACAGGCTCATCAACTTCTCGAAAGTCTCTTTCTCAATGAGACGCTCAAAGAATTCATTGTTGAGTGAGTTGATGGTTCCAATATTGTATCGACTTGTTGATAGGAATTTTGTTTGGCCATAATAGAAAACGATCTTGTCTCTAAGGAATTGAACAACCCTGAAATACGTTCAGAGTTGTTGAGAAGCGAATTCTTGCATGATTAGCGTTTTGAGAGAAGTCTTAACGTGTCTCATGAAATAAAAGAAAGAATATTCACAATGATTTCAACCGGTAATGCTTCAAATGACGATATCTTCAGTAAAAAGATCAATTTAGGAAGCATTTTGATACCTTTTCTCCAATTTTCCATGCACTTTGTAGTTCTTTCCGCATTTATTATTGGCTAAATGGTATTTTTTCAAATAAATTTGAATGAACCAAAGAATTTTTGTACCCATATCCATAAAGTTTTGATTACGGAACAATTTCTCATGTAATTTTTTGATATTTAAATAAAGCTTGCTTTATTCAGCTATCAATTTTAAGTTTTTAAGGGGGTAGGACAAATGCGAGCTTTTTTTTGCGCACCTGGACATTTGCGCACCTTTTTTGCTGGAAAAGGCCTTAGGAAAGGTCGTAGAGCTTCAAAAATGTTTTCATAGAAGGGTATCGTATGGGTAGATTCCGAATTTCGACAAATCAGACCTCGTTGACACGTCAAATTTGGGCTAAAAGGCAAAAACCGCGGAAAAGCGTTAAGTTGCGTAGTTTTGCCTTTTAGCTCAAATTTAACGTGTCAGCGAGGTCTGATTTGCTTTGATTTGTCGAAATTCGGAATCTACACATACGATTCCCTTCTATGAAAACATTTTTGAAGCTCTACGACCTTTCCTAAGGCCTTTTCCAGCAAAAAAAAGGTGCGCAAATTCCAGGTGCGCAAAAAAAAGCTCGCATTTGTCCCACCCCCGTTTTTAACATCAGTTTTAAGATTTTAAACTTTAAAAACCTCTCTTTTATTCCCTTTAGATATCAAATTTTACAAAAATTCTAGAACAATTGACATTCAATGCTTTCAGTTTACCAAAATAATCTTCTACTCATCAAATTCCGATTTTCAAACTCTTTCAATCGCACCTTAAGACCGGCTCTAGAAAAAAAGAATTCGAAAAAACTCTTTTCACGTGGTATCACAAAATATTGGAAAAAATGAAGAGAATGAAAGATATCGATGTAAAAGAAGTGAGGTAAAAGAAAAGGCCGCCAGTGAAGAGCGGAGAGAGGAATGGATGAGTGCGGTCGCGTCACGGCTCCCCCTCACTCCACTACTCCCGTTCTCTTTCTTGAAGAAGCGAAACGCGAACATATTCAAGTACATAGCTTGCTTATTATTCTAATTTTGACTTGTTATCTCTAGCCGTTTTCTTTTAGCCTTACTTAATTTTAAGCCGGTCTACCATTTTGAGAAGCGGAAAGGTTTCGTAAACTTGGTGAATCTGTAGCCAAGTTTTTGGTTTGAACAACAACTTTTTGTTACATTTAAGCTCCACTTTTCACTTCTATATATAAGTTTTTCAATTGCTATTAAGTTAAATATTAATTTGCATATTATTTCAGATTAAATTGCTATTAAAACCTGACATACTGAACAACCAGGTTCATCTTTTTATCTTTTTTAAATCTGAATCTTTTTTAGCTGTAATCTTTTGTTTTATTAGCTTTGAAAAGAATTTTCTTTTATTATTTTTGCGTTTTATTCAAATTCTAATCATCCCCATATCATTTACCCACAAAATGACGTCAATGAGAGGTCAATGCGGTGGATTGCCATCGGCTATCAATTCTCTTTATTTGGCATGCTTCCAAAAACAATTATTTCCTCATTTCACACGATTCTTTTAATCATTTATTCGTGAAATTGAGTTATTTGCTTTTTCATTTCTTTTTTTTTCATTACTTTATTTACAGCCGGGTGCACTTGTGGCCTTGTGCCCTGTATGTGGGCACAAAACAGCAAAGAAGCAGAAATTATGGCTCTCAATCCTTGGAATGCCCCACAGGTCAGCTCAAAATGCTAATTTTGATAAAACTAAGGATAAGTGGAAAGATTTAAACGCTTAAATTGGTTAAATTACGCATTGATGAACTTTTTCTGTTCTCTCAGCTTTGAGTTAGCCTAAGCCAACAAAGCTAACAAAAAGTTGCTTGTATTTAGATATAGAAAGCATATCCAATCAATTAAAATTAAAATTAGTATTACTTTTTATGTATTAAACAAGATAAACAAGATAATTTTTATCTATTTTTAGATGCCCGGTGGGGGTGCGAATGGTTGGCAACGAGGTCCGACACCGGCACAAATGGGAGGTCCTGGAGGTCCGATGGGACGAGGCGGAGCTCCAGGTTTGTTTTTGAATTTATCTTGAGCTATCTCGATAAAATGTCATTGAAATCTTGCATAATATTTTCATATTCAATTAAATTTCTAGGTCGTGACGGTCCACCGTTTGGCTGGCCTCCACACGGTCATCCCCAAGCGATGCCTCCGCAATGGGCGGCCGCTCCCCATCCTGTCCATCAACAGGCTCCCTGGCAACAACCCACGCAAATGAACCAGATGCCGCAACAACATGTGAGCTAAATTTTCATCTTAGGCTTCTTAAGTTTAAGAAATCCATAGGCAAACCAACAAGCTATAAGATGGTATAGACATGGGAAAATTCCAACCCGAGTCTAATTCCATATTCATTTTCTCGACCGTTTCTTGGCCGATTGCTCTGAAATTTTGTCTACAAGCTGAAAATGTTGATTTCTATCTGTAGACAAAATTTCAGAGCAATCGACCAAGAAAACGAAGGTGAAATTAGGCTCGCGTTGGAATTTCCTATGTTTAGTATGCTATACAGTTTTGAAATGAATTCTGTGCATTCGGTCTTCATTCTGTGTATAAATAGAGTCCATTAACATTTGAAAAACATTTCATTAAAACTATTAAAACTTTGTTTATTTAGTGGCAAGGTCCAATCGATCAGAAAAATATGCGCATGGTCAAGATGCAACCCCAACAACAACCACAACAATGGGGATCTCATAAAGTGGATCAAGGTAAGTCAGGATTTGAAGGCTAAATGTAAATTATTTTAGGAACTCCATGGGAAGCAGTGCCTGGAAATGTGCCTCAAGGAGGAGGCAAAGAATGGCAAGGAGGTGGCCAAGGAAACGCTCCCTGGCAAGCTCCACCAATTCCGGGAAACGCGCAACCACAACCATGGCAATCTCCCGAATGGCAACAGGCACAGGTGAGAATTGTACAAAAGTTTGTCAAGACTTGTTAGCCTAGAAGCATGTTCATACTAGTGATCAAACAAGGCTATAAGAATGAACCTGGTTTCAGCCAGCTCCATCTCGTGGCGAACCGACCCCGGTCGGTCAATGGCAACCCGCGCAAGGTGCTGGCGCGGCTCCTCCATTGATGGCTATGCAACCACAACAATGGGGACAACCACCACCGATGGGCGCTGCTCCACAGCAACACATGCAACAACACAATGTTGAACCGACTGCCGCCCGGCAACCACAAGAGGTAAAAATTCATTGGTTATATGCTGTTTTGAAATAAGGAATTTCAGCGAGGAATGGAGAATCCCGGCCAATTCGGGCCATGGGTTGCCCCGTATCCGACCGATGTAAATAATGATATGATGTGGCACGATCCGAATCCGAAACAGAAAAGAATGCAGAGGGATATTGGGACTCAGGTGATAAACTTCAGCATTTGAGCTTGAGATTTCAGTTGCAATTTTTTATCCGTCTTTACTTTTCTAAACTAGCTGGAGTTTACCCACGTTAGACTCGATAAATTGTCTAATTTTTTGTGCTTACATTGAAATAAGCTTAAAAATTGTTTATTCTTTGTTAAAAGATCTTTTTTAGCTTTGGGGTGACCCGTCGATGCAAGCTCAAGAGATTCGTCGCTGGAAAGAGCACGCCGATGATGAGGTGAAGCCAAGCAGCTCCGATTACAATGCTGTTCGTTAAATTTCGCTATATGAATTCTAAATCTTTAAGAAATGAGGATTAATATTATAAATTATTTTAGGGTTGGGGTGAACTACCTGGAGACCGTTGGGGTCATGGATGGACTGATGACCATGAGGTGAGCGAACCGTTCCAAGGAGGACGAGCCGCAGAACCGCACAGACCTGAACAACTTGAGCAACTCACTCAACAAATATCAGAAAAGGTAAAAATTACTTAATTTTTCCACATTATCAGCATTTTTAGCTCCAAAATGCGGTACGCAAGGGTTATGTGAGAGTGGATCTGCTTGAGAGACAACTACCACCAGAAAAGATCGCTCTTCTCAATACACTTCTGCAAAAAGTACCGAAGTAAGTGTAGATTTAAAAAATAATATTACACATTCTCACTTTAGAAACAAAGATATACAACTAATTTAGACTTGAACAAGCCCAGCAAGAGCTCGAGCAATGCAGAAGAACTGGTTTGACCAGCGTGCCTGCTAAGGTAAGTCTTTATAGACTTTATTCTTGTAAAAGTATCGAATTTTGTAACTTGTAAAACAATAAACATAAAAATGTTTAATTTCCAGAATGAAGCCGATCGCCTCACAACTGAAATCGAACAACTGAGAAATGAAATGTTGATGATTCAGAGTAAAATTGCCGAACCATCCGCTCAGGTCGGTTAAGAGTTAGCTAACATTTCCATTGCAATAACTTTATTGCTTTAAAATTGTATTTGAAATTTAAAAATGAAACTTTCAGCGAGTTCCACCAGCAACTGGTGCCGGGTCCCGTCTCCAACAATGGCGTAAGACTACCACCGATGATGCGAAAGGGCTTGGAGATCTTGGATTGGGTGCAATGTCAATGAATGACCGTGTAAGTTAAAGATTTTGATACAAATATGCAGCAATTTTGAACTCGATGGCTGGTTGAGTTAATCTCATTTTTACCATAAAGTCCTTTGTTGATCAATCTCATTTTTACCATAAAGTTTTACGTTCAAAAGCAGAATTCAAGACAATAAATTTTCTAAGAACCAAACGAATAATGCTAATTTTCCATTTCAGCCTGACTGGTCAACTGGAGCTGAATGGGTACAGGGAGAGCTCGGAAATGATATGCTGAAAGACGACGATGGAAGCGGGGATGGACCGAGAGAGTTCGTGCCTGGAAAGAAATGGGAATGGAGAGATCCAAACAAGGTTTGTTAATTGAACCGCAACAACTATTCAAACAATTTCCCTAGGTTGCTGAGGATCCAAATGCCACTCCGGGACTCTTTGGAGGACCGACTCTCGGCGGAATGTTTACCACGTGGGGAGGTGGAGAGGGTAACACTTGGAGCAATTCACCGGTTAGTATATCGAGTTGATTAAATATACAATTAAATAATAATAGATAAATATATAATATAAATATACAATAGAGCTCTAGTAGTTGACTTGTTATAGTGACCAGTTAGAATTTAAAAAGGGTTCAAAGTATTTGATTAAAGTTTTATTACTTTGTAGTTCTAAACTGTGTAAACAATTCCTTTAGGCCCCTGATTGGGTGGCCATCCAATTGGGTCCGAATGTTGGAGAGAAAACTGTGCATGCAACCGCTCAACAAGTCGGATCACTTGCCCAAGCCCTTGTCGCTCGACAAGCCCAAGGACAAATCGCCTATTTGAGATTCCACGATCAACCGGCCGTTCAAGCTCAAGCCAAGATGTTGAAGATTTTGCCATTCGGTAAGTGATCGTTAAAATTCACAACAAAAATGAGCTGATTTTAATGAATTATTAGGTTGAGTACTATGTGTTCGTATCCCTTGCTCATTATATTTTTTTTATTAGCGATTTTTCTCCAAGCAAACGTTGAATCACTAAAAATAAAAAGTGTTAAGTGTTTAATTTTAGGTATTTTAAAACAAATTTTGGCCTGATATGATGCAAATTCGCAAGTAAATTCTTAGAAGAGAAAGATAAAGAAAAAGATAAAGAAAACAATGCGACGAATTTTTCTGAAAATTTGACTATACTCCTAACTTTTTATGTTTTGTCTTTTTTCTATTTACACAAAGGTTTCTGTAAAAGAAAGGTAACAAATCATCTGTTAATTTTGACAACTCACCTTCTCGCCTCTTAAAATTTCTCAAAAAAGCCCTTTTTAAAACAATTGAGAAGCATTTTTTAGAAAAAAGATAGGGCTTTTCAATAAAACAAACCGTTTGTTTTTTTTTGGTCGATTCACCGTTTCTAAAACGATCAATGAAGAGCATACCAATACATAGTAATCAATCTAATACGTATTCCACTTGAAGTGCTACTGCTTTACAGAGTTACGGATATAAAAACATCACAAAGTCTTTAAGTAATTGATTGATTGAGCTGATTGAAATAAAATTTCAGCCCAAATCTGGACGGTCTCCGACGCCGAGGTCCCAGCCGACAATATGCCGCAAGCGCCGGGTGGCCCAATGGGAGGATGGTCTGAAGCATCGAAATAATCACTCACCAATCATTTCCTTCACTTTCAACCACAGTCTATCAGTTTGTTTTTGTCAATTTCCTTCATTTACCTCTTCGTTTATCCCATCATCATGTACCTAAGCGCTTCTGTTTTTCTTCAAATCGTTCAAGCTATCCTCTATCGAGTTTTGGGATTTGTACAGTACATGAAAAGTTAAATGAAAATTGCATTCAAGTCTATAAAACAAGAGATGTACTATAACCAATCCTCGTTTATCTTCTCAAAAGCCTGCCGGGTTTCTTTCATCCACTAACATGCCTCGTATAAATAGCTTTGTGCAACCAGCGAAATATTTCTATCGTTCCATTTTTCTGATTTCCACAATACGGATGTATTTGTCATCTATTTTACCCTAATGATGCTTTTCACCCTGAAACTTTTCATAATTTGTGTCCTTTCCTTTGCTATTTTACTGCCCAGATAACGATATTTGTCATCTATTTTACAATTATTTGTCTGTGTGTGTGTGTTAGTCCGGTGAATTTCTCCCTTACTTCCTCCTCGTGCTACTGGGTCGTTTTTCTCTCTCGAAAGCCAGGTAGCCGGTTCTTTTTTTTTTTTGGTTTCCAATCGAATAGTGCCTCATCGAAAAATCGCATATGAACGGAATAGATTTGAAGTGAAAATGAATGAAGTGCTTTGTGTGACATTTTTGTGAAATTTGTGAATTTGTGAAATTTATGTTGGATTCAGTTGAATGGTTGGGCGAAATATGAACTTGTTCTCGAATCCAGTTTGAATTCTTTGATTTTTAGACTTTAAAAACTTTAAGACTTTGTAAGAAAATGACTTTTTCTTGTCAAGCAGTACTTAAATAATTAATTTTGAAAACTTTTCACCAGTTTACTTCAACTTCAACCATTTACAAGTGATCCAAATCCTTCATTTTGTCTTTTCTCTACTCTTCACAAATCCGATTTCTTCCCACGAGTTATTTTCATTGCTTTTTTTTGTCATTTCACCTCTCGAAGTACATTGTACAGATAGATTTTGTGAAGTTTTCAAATCATTTTTTCTTTTTCTTGATCTGTTTTCTTTTCAATGAAGCTTTTCAAGTTCTGTTTAAAAATCAAAAAGCTTCATTTTTATTCAATAATCGTTTCCAGAGAACAATCAATTCACTACTTCCAAAAAGTTTACTTTTACTCGATTTTCACCACAGAATTGATAGTTTTCTTGATTTTTCTCATTTTGCCTTTATTCACATGCTTCATTATCAAATCATATAGGGGTTAGTTGGATCGCTTTTTGCAGTTTATTCTGGGCAAAAGTTAGTTTAAGTCTTAAAGAATGTTTTATAGATTTTTCCTTTAGTGCTTAAACTAGCTTTCGTCCCTATTCTTTCTACTACACGGATCTTTAAGGTTAACGGTGGAGGGGAATTTTTCGACCAACTTTCAGCTCATTTTAAAACACCTTAAACTTGTCAGATCAGGAAGTTTTAATAAGATTTCGATAGCCTAGAACGTCAGCTTTCAGAAACTATTTGTTTTCCCAAAAGTTAGTAACATAAACTTCTATAAAATCGAGCTGCAAGTTGGTCAAAAACTTTAGCCCCGATAATCGCTACCCCGGCCTTTAACCGTAAGGGTCCTATTAGACTTTTTAATCGATAAAATCTAGTGCAGAATAGGAAATGGTAGATCGATAGGTATTCAGGGTTAAGTCTGAAAAGATATTCAGCTTTTGGATTGAATGCCGAATACTTTGAAGCAAATCCTATTTCTTAAACTGCACTCTCTTAGTCGCATACTTTTTACCATTGAAAAACAATCGACCGAATCCACAAAATTCTCATTTTACGACAAGAATATCGTGTTGTTTTTTTTCTTCAATCGAAATGGGTATTCTATCCTCTCAAATCTGCTCCTAATTTGACCTTTTTTTTCTTCCCCAATTTTACTTTACTCCTTTCACCGAGATGCTCTAAGTGCACATTCAACCCCAAAAATTGAAAATTGCTTCATTCTTCTCTTAAAAATTCATTTTCCATAGTCGCAAATGTGTATTTGTAATTTGAAATAAACCTGTAAAAAAAGAAAATTTCCTCTTTAAATCATATTTGAACTTTTTTTTGATTTCAAATAAGTTTTTTAAATGACATTTTAGAAGCAAAAAGATTTATGTACAAGCAAAAAAAAAAGAATTTTTTTTGATAATTCAATAGAATAGCAACAAAAAGTGGGGCAAAATAAGGCACCTGAAAGGAATGAGAAATGATTTGATGGAAAATTTTGTGAGAGGAGGACCAGTTGATGAGAGCTATTTCGTTTGAGCTCCACTTTGGTGATGATGCTGATGATAGGGTGGTGGTCTGGAAATCGAATTTTGGATATACAGCTACAAAACACACCAAAAGACTCCATAATAGTCTATAAAGTTCGCTGAAAGTTTTGCTAGTTCTATCGAACGAAAACTCAAACAAAATTTGCATAAAATCAAACAAGAAAACCAATTTAGAACATTTAACAATAATATAGGTAAAAAGGAATTGCATTAAATGCTTAAAATGCTCTTCGTTTACTTTAATATACACTACTGGACAATGAAATATGATATTTGAAAAAGATCACCACTTTCGCGCGTCTGTAACTCCCTTGTCTTTTCCGTATTTCTAAATATTAATATTACCATTGTATAGCCCTAGAAAAGAGCTTTCAGAAAATGTATAACACTAATAGTTTAAACTCAAAGACAAGGGAGTTACAGACGCGCGAAAGTGACGATCGTTTTTCAAATATCATATTTCATTGTCCAGTACCGTAGGTAAAAAGGAATTGCATTAAATGCTTAAAATGCTTAAAATGCTCTCCGTTTACTTTAAGATACTTACTGAGCCACTTTCGAATGATCAAACTGATCAAACTCGATCACTGAAATCTTACTCCAATTTCAACTCAAAGCGACTTTAAGCTGTTCAATTAATGTAAAACTGGTACGGGAAATACGGCTCTTAGCACTTTCGATTTCCCATATCCAGTGTTCTGTGATTATCCCAGAAATTTGCTCAGCTAACTTCAACTTCCCCTTTTTATGCAGCTTGATAATCATTATTTGTTCAGTGTCATCATCCTCTGGCCTTTTTCACGTCCAAAAATTTTTTGTAATTTGTTAAAAGTAATAAAAAAAGACATAAAAAACGTCTACCGTATTCTCTCTAATAGTAGTGCACACTACTATCTTTTCAACCTCCTCCTGAACCGCAATACTATTAGAGAGTGCACTACTATTAGAGAGAATACGGTAATCGTAATTATAAAACAAATGTAGCAGAATTTTTGCACCCTGTATTTTATTTCATAACTTTGTGATAAGCTTGGATGTGTGAGACGATTAACCGATCAACGAATCTAGTACTTGGATCAACTGTTACTCTGTTACTATGTGAGATTACTATTATTTTATGTGAGATTACTCTGTTACTAAGTCCGGCACTGATATCAAATTAATGACAAGAATGTTTCAACAACGTTTTACGGCCAAGTCAGGTTTAGGCCAAGCTAGATCTAGCTCTCAAAGCTTGCCGTTTAACGAGTAATGACTAGAGTGTGTTCCTATTGTGTAAGTACTTACTTGAGTAAAATAGCATAAGTAATTTTATGTGAGATTGAGATGTGAGAGTTATGTGAGCTTCTAAAACGGTTATGTGAGACGATTAACCGACCAACGAATCTAGTACCTGGATCAACTGTTACTCTGTTGCTAAGTCCAGCACTGATATCAAATCAATGACAAGAACTTTCCAGCAACGAGCTAATTCAGGTTTAGGTCTAGCTTTAAAAGCTTGCTTAATGGGTAATAACTAGCAGTACTTTGGTACCAGGTGTGTTTAAAGTTTGAGAATTACTCACTCTAAAGAACATTTCATAAATGTAAACCACCGCTTAAAGTAAGCCAAAGTTGCTAAGTCCAGCACTGATATCAAATTAGGTCTTAATTATTCAAATTAGCTAAGCCTAAGCCTAAGCCTAAGCCTGCACAGCCTTAACCTCCAAATCCACTCACCGAAGAATTTTCATCGATCTCGTGCTATTGCTTTGAATGAAGGGTCGAGCTGACGGAGCCATAAACATTGACGTCGTCCGCGTTTTCACCGTACCTGAGAATTTTCAAAAGCATACAAAGCCATTCCAATCTTTGAAAGGTGAAATCAAATTTTAGGAATCTGTGAATGCAGGAAAAAAACATGCTAATCTTTACCTAATCTTCTGAAGGTAACCTAAAAGGTATTCATCAATTTTTGGCATAAATTCTTGTAACTTACAATTTCTGATTGGTCCATCAAGAGCGGCTAGCTGTTGGCGTTCCTTTTTGTTCTCTTTTGTGTCAGTGACATATCGAGAGAATTCGGAAGGGACATTGTGCTCACTGGATCGAACAGCGGGAACACCTAGAAACTTCAGTTAGCTTTTTGACGCTTAGAGAAATCGGTGCATCCAGTTATACACTACTGGACAATGAAATATCATATTTAAAAAACGATTGTCACCTTCGCGCGTCTGTAACTCCCTTGTCTTTACCGTATTTCTAAATATTAATATTACCATTGTGTAGCCCTTGAAAAGAGCTTTCAGAAAATGTATAACACTAATAGTTTAAACTCAAAGACAAGGGAGTTACAGATGCGCGAAAGTGACGATCGTTTTTCAAATATCATATTTCATTGTCCAGTACTATATAAGTAAAAGCCCCTCTACCGGAAAATGCGCGGTCACCTACTCGGGGCTCGACCCGGGCCAACCCATGGCTACAGGCGCACCCTTCCATGAATGGGTTAAGCACCGACCAAGCTTCTATAAACTCTGCCTTTAAAATCCGCGTTCATACCCTTACAAACCGATTCGACCGATGTGCGAGTGGACACAAGGCGCCGAAGATCGAGGGGGCTTGGTACACTACTGGACAATGAAATATCATATTTGAAAAACGATCGTCACTTTCGCGCGTCTGTAGCTCCCTTGTCTTTACCGTATTTCTAAATATTAATATTACCATTGTATAGCCCTTGAAAAAGAGCTTTCAGAAAATGTATAACACTAATAGTTTAAACTCAAAGACAAGGGAATTACAGACGCGCGAAAATGACGATCGTTTTTCAAATATCATATTTCATTGTCCAGTACTGTACATCTTCACCCGCTTTTGTGTATCCTATCCAGAACTTTTGAGGAAAAAAATGTGAATAGTTTTGGTAACAGATATTTTTAGGTTATAATTTCCGAATAATGGTACTTTAGGTAAGCATATACATAAAGTAGATAAAAGAAAATTATAGATTTAACCTAGATAGTTGTTAAGGTTAATGATGTGTACCGAGAAATCTATAGAATAAGTTTCACAGTCAGTTTGAATATACCGGGCATCCGAAAAAAAAGTGGTCATCGGTTTGAGTCTGGAGAAATTTTCTCGTTGATTTTTCAAGGCTCATCGTGGTGTCAAAATCATGTCTGGTTTTGCCACAGACGTCACACAACAAGATGAAGTTGATTTTTTTGATGATTTTATGAATAGGGGAATCATGCATCGGACGGAGAGCTCAAAATCCACGTATCCATGAAAAACAAACTTTTGAATTCCTCTATTTCACCACAAATCTTTCTACTTTTTATTTCTATAAATTTGTTTTTTTCCGACTATATGGGGGCGCCACTATTAGAGGTATTACGGTAGTGATATGTATTTATATTATCATTCTTCATTCAGAAACGGTAGTTTTTGTTCTCAAATATGATCTAAATCAAATTCTCTCACCTGGCATAGGAAATTTCCCCCTCAACGCCTGATTGAAAGCCCAGATCGAGTAACGAATTTCGATGAGACGAGAAGCGTAAATGAAAGCATCGGCAATTAACTATAAAATCGTATATGCTACGTTAAATTTTGAAATCTTCTATCGACGAAACGTCTTTTTAGATTAGAAAAGTCATTTTATAAAGAATTTCATGAAATTTTACGATCAAATCTAGTCAAATCAAATATTTGGTTGAGGAAAAAATAATGTCGGTTTTGAATTCCCGTTGTTGGCAATTTTCCATTTCTTTGCTTATGCAATTTTTTTTTTCAAATTGATATCACCTAGACACTTCTATACTTTCATATTATATTTGATTTTTACAAATTTAACAATATTTTCTGTTACAAAATGTAGGACGAAAAGTTTCGACTTCGAGCCGCTTTGTGGTATGATTTTAAATAAGAGAAATTGACGAGCTTGGTTGGAAACTTCTGCCCCACGCACCTTTTGGTCCGGACCTGACCCCATCAGATTATTTTTTGTTTCGGTCATTGAAGAGTTTTCTTATGGGAGAAAAGTTTGAGGATCATGCACAGATCAAAAAAAGCAGTCGACACTTATTTTGGCTCGAAAACTCCCCATTTTTTTTGAGGATGGGATCAGGGACTTGCGACAAAGATGGGAACAAGTCATCAATAATAATGGCGAATATCTTATTGATTGATGTTCGTTTGTTTATGTTTTTAGCAATAAACAATTTTGTGACAAAAACCGACATTACTTTTTCCTCAACCTAACACAATTCTAGTTTTGTTTAACACTTTTGTACATTAACTATTGAATTTTAAATCTTTACCTTAAATAAATATCAAAGCTTTATCTTAAAACTATCGAAATTACGTTCTTTTTATTTATAAATCAAATTTTAAACAATAGTTTATCAAAAATTACAAAAAAATGCATTTTTTCATTTTTAAAGAATAAAAACTAGAATTTCTTTAGTAATCTTAGTGATTTTAATGGAAAAACATGTTAAAAAAGGTTTCAAAATCAGATATAACAAATATAAAACCAATTACTAATGCTCTTACCTTTAGGATATTCAGTGCTTGCGAGAAAATAGCTAAATAAGAAGCGTAGTTTCTTGGCAATGCGAAGAGACAAGTGTGACAGGTCAAAACGTGAGTGATCGTTGTTGGTAACCATCCTGAATACAAAATTCAGTATTACGAAGAATGCAATCCAGTCCAGATTAGCTGGTTTACGGTATTTGGCCTAGATTGGGTATTCAGTCTAGATTAGCTGGATTACTGTATTTAGTCTAGAATGTGTATTCAGTCTAGATCAACAGGATTACGTTATTTATTCTAGATTAAGTTATTCAGCCTTGAATAAGGTATTCAGTCTAGATTACCTGTATTACGGTATTTCGTCTAGATTGGGTATTCAGTCTAGATTAGCTGGATTACGGTATTTAGTCTAGAATGGGTATTCAGTCCAGATTAGCTGTTCAATAGTATTTTTCGATAGTCCAGTTCAATAGTATTTTTATGTGATCACCTATACAAGCTGATCCAGCTAATAGCATTAATGTGACCAATAACTTTCGATTTGTACTCCTTCTGAAGCGATGATTGTTGTTGATTGTCAATAAGGGATCCTAAAGTTCGAACTTGGCACTTGAAAATCTTCTTACTTATCTTTTTACTTATCTTCTTATCAGCAATTCTTACCTTTGCGATCTTACTCATATGCAACATGATGTGAATGTAGAGAAAAGATAAGAGAAGAACGACAAAAATGAATGGAACCACTTGAATCCATCGAATTAATGGATCTTCTAAAGTTTTTGATTGAATAAGTTTGACTGGTAATCAATGAATTCAAAAGAAAATGAATCAAATTGTATTAGGCTTTCCAGAAAATTGTATTAGGCTTTTCTTTTCATAGTTTCATTGAAAAATAAAAAATTCATCAATTAATCTATCGTAAATACTGTAATTGAACGGTACCCCCTCGTTCAGTCGCGTAGTTTAACATCTTTTTAGAAAATCATCTTTTTCTCAGCCCCTAGATTTTCCCCAACCACACTTTTGATACCAAAAAATGCCAGATTTCAAGGGCTATCATTTGACACCAAAGCGCACACTGTAGCATAAAGCAGCGCGGAGAACGGAACGTGTAAAGTTAGACTACGCGGCAATACTCCGTCATTATGGAGCTGCCGTTCTATTAGAGTATTTATGGTATGGTTTCCTTCAAATAAAAAGTGTTCCTTGTTCAATTTCCCCTCTTTTAAAGTCAATTTCGGTCTACTTTCAAGCAAATTCAAGAGTGATAAAAGTGTTTTTCGTAAAAATCCAGTAATAAGACATTTTAAACCCGTTTCTAATGTTATTTTGCAGAAAAATAATTGGCTTTTTTTAATGAAATAAAACGTAGTTTGAATTGGTGCATTTGTTGGTTTTAAACAAAAGTAAAATGAATGAAAAGCCTTTCTAGAAAGCCTAATATGATTACAAATAACTTTTCCTAAAGAATTCAAGAATCCCAGCCAGTTACCCTAACTAGACTGGTGTTTTAAAGTAAAGTTTGTACTCAGAATAGAAACAAGCTTTCTTTTAACAACCTTTCTTTTAACAAGCTTTATTTTAACAAGCTTTCTTTTAAAAAGCTTTCTTTTATAAAGCTTTCTTTTAACAAGCTTTCTTTTAAAAAACTTTCTCTTAACAAGCTTTCTTTTAAAAAGCTTTCTTTTAACAAGCTTTCTTTTAAAAAGCTTTCTTTTATAAAGCTTTCTTTTAAAAAGCTTTCTTTTAACAAGCTCAATTTCCGTTTCTCTACAGCAATGTGTGAGAAAGATTCAATAAAAGTTTGTTTCGATTTCTTCTTGCCTTTAATAAATAACTCTTTTTCAACAATCAAAACTTACGTAAAGCAGTCAGCACTTGACATCCCTTTTCATTAAAGAAACCGAAAGCAACGTCTGCTCGGAATCCACCCGGATGTACAGAAAAGACGGTCACAAACGAGATCAACGGGAGTAAAAATGAGAGAGCAATCGCCATTCTGAATGGAAAATAGTTTTGCTTAGCAGTACAATTGTCAAATTCTCTATATTTCTTTTCCACTCACTTCACAGTTTTTGGAGTAATTGCATGTCGTCGGAGTGGATAAACGATTCCCACATAGTGATTCAACGCCAATGCTAGCAGAGTGAACACTGACGCGAAAAAGGTTGCCAATTTAAAGACCTAAAGAAAATTTCGTCATTTTCCAATGATTTCTGTAACACTTGCAGATTCATAAAGAGATTCTAGTTCTTCTTTGTTCTCAAAATTTGATTAATATTGCCTTTTTGGAATGGATTTGCGTGTTTTTTCCTTTTTGAGTGGGCGGCATTGTGAGAAATTTTAGGCGTCAGAGATTATTTTCTAATAAAACTTGTGATTTAAGAATTGAATTTGATTGAAAAAGAATTGAACTTGTCAATTTTGAAAATTCAAACTGATATTAGTCTTAAGATTTCATTTACTGATACTTTTTGTTTTACTGTTTACTATTTTTACTATTTTTTTGACTCAATTACCTCAATAAGCAACAACCAGCAATTGGAGACATTGTTTGGCTGAGTGAGCACGTTGACCGTATAGGTAAGAATGTAGAAAAGAGCACATAAAGCATCAGCGGCAGTCAGAGTCACACAAAGACGAAGATTTACACCGATTGGACGTCTGAGAAAACGAGAACACTGAAATGAGAATGGAAATGATTTGTTTTCTCTTGGCGTTTAAGGAAAAGTTCAGGAAATTTCATGGCTAGGTTTTTAGCAACTTACCGTAAATACTGTAATAGTACCCCATAATGATGGCGCGTAGTGTTGCGTAATCTAGCTTTGAACGAGTTTTTCTCGACACTGGTTTATGCTACAATGCGCGCTTAGGTATCAAAAAATAGCTGAAATTCAGGGCTATTTTTTGATACCAAAGACGCATTTTTTGGAAGTACGGACGCTTTGCAAAAAATGAAATACTAAAAAACGTTTGCAACTACGCGACTGTACGAGGGGGGTGGGGTACTATTACAGTATTTACGGTAAGTACTTTAAGCCTTAGTTTTTTTGATTTTAAAATGTGAAACAGCTTACATGGCAACAGCTTACATGGCAAACATCTTTCAGAAATTGATTTCGAAATACACTAACTGACAAACTTGAAGAAATTGCAAGTATTTACTTGTACTTGTACTTGTACTTGTAATTGTACTTGTACTTGTACTTGTACTTGGATAAGTTGGATAAGTTTTAAACTTAAATTACTTACATTACTTAATTACTTAATTGCTTACTTGGATAAGTTTTAAACTTAAATTCAACTTACATTCAATAGATAGGCATTTACAACCAAAGCGATTGATGAAAGAATCGTTAAAAATAGAGAACTGTAATAAACGAGCTTGTCCTCAGTCAATCCCAAAGATGATGTCTCGTTCATCTAAAATCAAATCATGAAAATATAGCCAAATAAAATGATTCAGATTCAGAAAAGTTCAGAAACATCAAAAGAAATCTTTTTTTTTTGTGGGAAATGAAAGAAAAACCAACAGACAGAACATTTATAAAAGGTCATTTCTGTTATTGGGAAACTACACGTTCTGAGAGTGAATTTTTTTGCGAAAACAGATGGAAAACTTTCTTAAAACTTTTAGAAGAGGAAAATATAATAGGTAAAGCTGAAGTTGTTAGAACAGGTGTTTGAAGGGAATCGGGAGAACATTGTAAAGTGTTTAGAACGACTTTATTGTTAGACTTGGCTTGATTAATTGTTGATTAGAGTAAAATTGTAAACTAAATAAAGTTGGCTATGCTTTGTGAGATTTAAGGAAGAGAATAACACTTTGAAGCATTAAAATGGCTAAGATGAATGGGATGGTTAATGTCTTCATATTTCAAAAGCTTATACAGTACTGGACAATGAAATATCATATTTGAAAAACGATCGTCACTTTCGCGCGTCTGTAACTCCCTTGTCTTTGAGTTTAAACTATTAGTGTTATACATTTTCTGAAAGCTCTTTTCAAGGGCTACACAATGGTAATATTAATATTTAGAAATACGGTAAAGACAAGGGAGTTACAGACGCGCGAAAGTGACGATCGTTTTTCAAATATGATATTTCATTGTCCAGTACTGTAGCTTACTAACTGTGGGTTTAAAATAAGAAAGCAATAACGAAATCTGTCTAAAAACAAGAATCGATATAAGCCAGCCGATTACTCTTTTTAGTGGCATACTTAGTGGTGAATAAGATTCAACCAACCAGACACGATGATATACTTGATCTAGAACTTCTGAAGAACAACCCAAAGTTTTATGTTACATAACTACTATCAAAGTAATCATTTGTTTATTTATTGTTGAGTTCAGTTCTTTATTTCCTTGGTTTTCTAGCTATTCTAGACTAAGTAATTCAATAGAATTCATCAAAATAAAGAAAAAAGATGATTGACATGATAACAAGCTTCTTGTTTTGAATTTAAGGGTTCACAGCTCACACAAAAATTTTGGAACAGGTGTTTGAAAGAATTTTTTGAGAAAAAGCAAAGAAGAGAATGGGATGCGGGCTTTTGGAACCGATTAGGCCCGCTAATATTATGGAGTCGACGCTTCTTTTCCCTTTCCACTTCTCCTCTTTATTTCCTTGAAAGCCGCAAAACCTATCGAAAAAATGGGCTTTGTGTGGGAGTGAGGCCAAAAAATGGAGGGTAGAAATGGAAGAAAAATTGTCCACATTCAAATATCTCAAAAGATATCGACTTTTTCTGAAAGCATCAATGGGGTAACAATAACTAATAGAATGGGAAAAGATTTGAACATTTTAAGAGCTACAAGAGTTCTGATTAAGGGATGCTAGCCAAGCCAAAGCTAGCCAAGCCAAAGCTAGCCAAGCCAAAGCTAGCCAAGCCAAAGCTAGCCAAGCCAAAGCTAGCCAAGCCAAAGCTAGCCAAGCCAAAGCTAGCCAAGCCAAAGCTAGCCAAGCCAAAGCTAGCCAAGCCAAAGCTAGCCAAGCCAAAGCTAGCCAAGCCAAAGCTAGCCAAGCCAAAGCTAGCCAAGTCAAAGCTAGCCAAGTCAAAGCTAGCCAAGCCAAAGCTAGCCAAGCCAAAGCTAGCCAAGCCAAAGCTAGCCAAGCCCTGCAATACCTTTTTAAGCTGGTTTTGAAATATAATGAAGCTAGGTATTCCAAATGATCAGCTGAACCAATGAATTCTGGAAGTTAAAAGGTGAATAATTAGTTTTTACACATTACTAATCTAAGATTTTCAACTTTCAAAAGATTAATTGCTTCAAGGAAACGATTTGCCATAGAAAAACTGATCTAGATCTGTGCAAAGCATAAAACTTCTGAAACTTGTAGGCAATCAATGTCTTTCTACAGAAAATTCCCACATAAAAAAGTCATTTCAAGATTTCAGAAAATGAAATACATATCTTTAGTTTAAAAAATGCAAATAAGGTTGAGGAAACGTGTTGCGAGATTGGTTTTTTGGATTGGATTGTCAAAATTGATTTGTTTTCTTTCAATCAAACTTCAATATGAAATGGAAATCAAAGAAAAAAAACCAGTATGAATTCAAAAGTTCAACTTTCAAATCTATTTCGAGAATAATCTGATATCATAAAAGTCAGTGCCATGCTTTGGAAGCCATTCATTCAAAAATCTAAATGAGATTACGAAAAATGTGTGAATCAATGGAAAAAATCCGGTTCCAACAAGTGCTGGAATGTTTTTGTTCAATGTAAATTCTTGATTTAGGTATAAAACAAAAAGTAAAACAAGCCAAAAGGCAGTTGAAATTGTTTGACAGTTTAGAAAACAGGAGAAACGTGGCAGTTTAGAAAACAGGAGAAACGCTGAGTTTAGTCACTCAGCTTCTCAACAGATTTAAATCATATCTTTGGCTAAAGTTTGATCAGATTATTAAGTATAATAAGCAAATCTTTTACTGAACAAGTCAGGAAACATTCGAAGTATTGAGTAGTAAAGTTTATTTGAGAGAAAAGTTGAATGGGTCAAATGGAAGACTGAAGGATCATAGTTAATGAAACGGTCAGCAACTTGTCGATTTAATAATATTATTAACAAGAATCAAAGCCATTTTTCAAGAAAAGTAATCTATTAAATGGATTTAGCTTTGAATTTAATTGATCAATATTTCCACTGGAGTCTATTTTGTGTTTTCTTTCTATAAATAAAAGTACGGGCTCAAAAATGAAAGAAATAATCTAACAAAAGGGAATCTCTTTTAATAACTTCTTTTTATGTTCTCAGTAAATTTGAAAATAATAGAAGAATGGATAAAAATGAGAATTACATTTGTGTAGTAGAATAAGATTAGTGTTCTTTATGACAAGTGTTCTTTATGACAAGTGTTTAAAACTCATTGATCATTTATAAAAGAAGTTAAGAGTTTACAGATTACAGTTAAATTACCATATTTTCTCTAATAGTAGCGCACCCACAGCCTCGCCTAAATTCCTCGAAATCTCGCAAACCGCTTATCAGAACCTATCGATGTGGGGTCGGAAAATGTGGCTGACGATGAGATCTAGTGGAGGATTAGAGTGTTGAGCTTCTGCAAAAGCTTGGAAACCGTAAAATAGTCACCAACTCGGCTCGCCGGGGGTGCACTACTATTAGAGAGAATACGGTACCTTATTTCAAAGACGATAAATAGTTGAACTTTGAAAGATGGTAAATATCAAAAACGCTAAAATCAATCCAATTAAATAAAATAAAACGGGAAATCAATCTGAAATTAAAATGTTAACTTTGAACCTAAAGACTCATCAAGTTTTTTCAAAGAATTGAACAAATCAAATGAGATTTAGAACTTCTGAAAACAATAACAAGTTTTTGGGTTTAGCAAAAACTTAAAAGGAAGCCTTCCAAGGGAAAAAAAGATGAAAACAGATGGAACAGCGTACTGATTGAATTTCGGGAAAGGTTCTCTTCTTTCACTTTTTGCAACCTTTTCCCTCTTGGATAGGCCAAACTCTTTCTTTCCTTTTATCAATAAATAATCATATCAAAATAATTGTTGTTTATTGAACTTTATTTCTTTTCTTTTTCTTAATCAAACTTTTCCAACTGGTCAATAAGCGCTTACCGTAAATACTGTAATAGTACCCCACCCCCCTCGTACAGTCGCGTAGTTGCAAACGTTTTTTAGTATTTCATTTTTTGCAAAGCACCCGTACTTTCAAAAAATGTGTCTTTGGTATCAAAAAATAGCCCTGAATTTCCGCTATTTTTTGATACCTAAACGCGCATTGTAGCATAAACCAGTGTCGAGAAAAACTCGTTCAAAGCTAGACTACGCAAAACTCCGCACCGTCATTATGGGGGTGGGGTACTATTACAGTATTTACGGTAGTTTTGTTAGTGATCGATGAAATGTCGATTTAAAAGTTGAAAAATGAAATGAAAGGTTAATGAAAAAGTTGTTAAGAAAAAAAAAGTCTTAAAAAGCAATTAAGAGGTTTCAGAAAGGCTTAAAATTTCAATTTTAAGCTGAATTTTTAACTAGACCAAGTGGATCTTTAGAAAATATATAGAGAAATATTTATATAAGAAAATTTTTAGAACAAGGCAATTGATCTAGGAAATATTTAACTAGTAAGAAGCTTAAAATCTGCTTTAGGTAAAGATTTGTTGAAGTTGAGACCTATTTTTTGGTGTTCGTGTGTCTTGAAGGGGAATAAAACAAAGCCTTTACTCATTTCTTTCTTGCTCGCTGACTCTTTGTTTGAGTGACAATGAACAGGGAATAGGTAATGACTTCAAGATGAGAAGAAAATTAGAGTTTTTTGAAGAAAAGATGAAATATCTTTAAAAAATGGGTTGCTTAATCAAAAAACAGCAAAGAAATACTGAAAAGAGAAAAGTGGAGAAAGCTACAGTAGTCAAAAAGACAAATTTGAGTAAAGAGTATCAAAAAGCTATTTAATTCAATGCTTTAAAGTGTAAATTTTGTCGAGAAATTAAGTAATCAAGACAATTATCCTGAAAGATTTATAGTTTTATCTTCAGCTACATTTGTGGTTAAATATCCTAGCTGAATACGATACAATAGACAATATTTATTGTCAGCTCACTAACGTTCGCACTAACGTTCGCACTAACGCTCACTAACGCTCACTAACGTTCGCACTAACGCTCACTAACGTTCGCACTAACGCGCACTAACGTTCGCACTAACGCGCACTAACGTTCGCACTAACGCGCACTAACGTTCGCACTAACGCGCACTAACGCTCCCTAACGCGCACTAACGCTCCCTAACGCGCACTAACGCTCGCTAACGCGCACTAACGTTCGCACTAACGTTCGCACTAACGTTCGCACTAACGTTCGCACTAACGCTCACTAACGTTCGCACTATCGCGCACTAACGTTCGCACTAACGTGCACTAACGCTCACTAACGTTCACGCT